ATTGCTAATATATCCCTCCGGTGCTTTGCTCAGTAGAGCAATTCCCTACTGGGTCCCATTTGAAGTCTTGTTGCTGAAATAATTGAACAGCTTTTGAAAGCAAAAGTTCCTAGGTAAATTAGCATAACCAGGAAGGTATGGTCAAGGTAGTGAGTGATCAAAGAGGAAGATCAGTTGGCTTCCTGTTTGCATGCTTGTGGACTTGTGCTTTTTTAAAGAGAAAACAAGCAGCTTGTTAAGACTGAAATAAACTTCATTAAATCCATATCACTCGGGTGGGCCAAAAATGATCTAATCCTGTCCTGAATTTGCAATGTCTGTGAGCTCTGCCTTACCAAGGCACTGAGGAACCAGAAGGTAATAACTATGTTGTTGTTGTTACTGGGATGGGCAATGTATACAAATAATTTGCATGCAACAGTATAAAAGCAGCAAAAACTTTAGACCTCCTTATTTATGTCACAGCTGTCACCACCCATACCTCAGAGATATGGAAGGATCTTTCAGACGATGAATACGTAATTGCTTTCACATACCCTAAAGGAAAGTTTTCTTCTGCAGCCTGACACAGAAAACTCTCCCACCCTTTCCCCCAGGTACATGAGGTCATAAATCTTACAAACAGAAGACAAAGGAGGGTGATGTCCCCATAACAAAGCAGAAGATTCACTGAATAGAAATCTCAGCCCTTGCCCTATGCTGTGAGAATTGTGCATTTACAGAGAAGAAAGTGGTTGTTTTGGTTCTATTCAGTTACTCAACATTACATTTTGGGGTACTGAAAGAAAGGACAGATAATAAAAAATAATTTTCTCTGTTTCTTGATATCTTCCCCCTCCCACTTCCTTCCACTACTTCTGACCAATAGTATGAGAGCACTACTAATATAACCTTTTCAGCATCTTCACAGTGCTAGACTTTGGGGGGGTCTATTTTTTCTGCTTGTAAACTTGTAGAGGAACAAGACTGATCTCTTTATGCTTTTGTATTTATTTTTTCTTGTGGAAGGTGGAAGCCTTAAGATTTTTCAGTTAATACATACACATACTCAAAAAATTAATGACTGAATTAAAATTCCTCCAGTTCACAGTGAAGGCAAACCATTGAGGGGGAGTGCAATAAATGGCTAGCAAATGACTCATACTTTTTATGGATGTCAAAGGATTGCTGAGAGTTGGTGACTGGCTTCTGTTTCAGACAGACTCTGCTGTCATTCTAACCAAGACTCCCTTCCATTCAAATAAATTTGGCCCATTCATTACAAAAGACAAACTGGTGACGTGTTTTTCAGCGTACCATATAAGCCAGATGGTAATCTTAAGTTCTGCCAAGTGTTTTTGGAATGGGGAGGGGATAATTCTTGCCTTTCTAAGGTAGGGATATCAAGCCTTGCTTAGCAGTAAGGGTTATAAAGTGTGCAGAGTTATCCATGTGTGTTAGTAGAATTAGAACTCCTGTGGCCATGGGCAACTGGTGCCTCCTGAGTCAGAGGGGGTGGAGGGCACTTGCCCCCCCCCCCAGTGGCCATTCAGCAACTGGGGGTGGGGCCCAATGCAGTCAGTTGCACAACCAGGGGGAGGAGGGCCCTGCAGCCAATGACACCAAACCACAAGTGCCAACGATGCTTTTCCTGGTACCCCCACTCCCTGGCTGGCACTCTCGGAGGGGGTGGGGGAGGGCACCTCCCCCCATTGCCTAAGCAGGGAACACTGGTTGTCAGGATGAACCAGCAATTTCAGGGGATGCACATACACCCCCTACGCATCGCCACTACTTGTGGCTCCCATTTGAAAAACTTGGGCAATAGAGGCTGGCATCTGGAATGAATGCTAGGCAGTAGTGATGACCATCTAATAATGTTCAAGAGGCAGAGTAGTAGGGACATGCCTAGTCCCTATCCCATGGGATAACATGAAGAGTGCTGTAAAAAGTGGCATTTGTCTACACATGCCTACTCCAGTAATTCAAGGTTACTCTAAATTCTCAGCCACTTCAAATTCTGTTGCTGGATTTTCAGTAAAAATAGTTCTGTGTTTCCCGCCCCACCCCCCACTCCTCATAGGTTGGGAAACCTGATCAAACTACAGGTGAGAGGAGAAGGAGTGGGAGGAGATCATGCTGGGGATTCAGGGGAGGGCTCATTTGAGGCATGTCACTCTTCCAGAGGTCTCCTGGGAAGAGAGGAGTTTGTTTGGCCTTGTGTTCCTCTTCCATAATTTAAACATGTGCTTTAGAGTGCTGACAAGTGACATTTGTTGCACAATCAGCCCCTTGAAAATATTTTACAACTGTGCCCTGACAGAAGTGTGTGGCTGCAGAGCACTTTAAAATTACCCAATCATGCGACAAATTAACCCTCACGTAACAGCATGTCACCTGAAGGCACTCTAAAGTGGAATGCCTTCGTTAACTTCTGTCCCTTTGCACAGCCGTGCCCCACCCAGGTGCTGTCTGTAGGAAGGGAGGGGAGGGAGCTCCGGGGTAGGGTTTGCGCAGCTTGAGCTGAGCGGGGCTGGCATGTGGACTGGAACCCTTTGCCTTGGTGGGGGGGGGAGGGCAGGGGAGGTGTGGAGGGAGAGCTCCAATCCATAAACCTCCTCCTCCCCCTTCTCTCTCTCCCTCCATCTCATCCTGTAGACGAGCACTGGAGCTGGGGGGGGACGGACACAGTACAGGGCTAAAAGAGAGGCTGCAGACAGGCAACTCCTTCTGGATCGGTTCCAAAGTCGAACCTGATCCCCCACCGTCCCAACCCAACAGCAGATGTCTGTTGAGTTGGGGCAGTGTGTAGTGGAGGGTGCACCCCCGGTCCAAATGCAGACAGGACTCCCTACAAAAGCCTTATAGTTAGCTTCCAACTGGCCAGCTTCCAGTGGGAGGATCTTGGCTACATGCTGACTTTTTATGGAAATGGGGAACTCCTCCTTAGCTGGTCTGTGGCTGTTGGCTGAGGGCAAGTAAAACTCGGGGGCACCCGAACCCCAAGCCTCCAGGCCTGGACCTGAGCATAGGATGCCTTCCAATTGGATTTGAAAGTATCTGATGCCTCAGGCTGAAAAGTCTGGGACGGAGGATTCTCGCCAGTTGCAGGGGTGCATAATAGTGTTTGAACTTTATTTAATCAAAAGGATTTGGAACTGATCTGGCTAATTTGACCTGGAACACAAAAATTTCCCAAAAAATATATATATATTTACCGTAAACAAGAAACCTGGATTCTCGTCATATATGACAAGTAGCCAGGTTTCTTGTTCACGGTAAACAGAAGAGTGGCTTCTAAACAAGGTCTAAACAAAGCTTTCCTGCCTACGTGCTGTCATATTTCCTTTCAGATTAAGAAACAGACAAAATACAGCAGAGCAAGCAAGTATTAAATCTGGTCATATTGAAACAAAAACAATATTTTACAGCAACATAAAACTAGAACACTTTTCAGTACAAAATGCTTATACATTTTGTGTGCAACATAAGAAAATGGTGCATGTGTTTGTTTCACCTTTCTTTCTGTGTTCATTATTTTTGGTCACTTCTGTATAACTTTAGTAATTATTCTTTAACATCTTGTTCTATTATCTTTTTTGGTCCTATAAATATTTAGCTCATAAACTGAGCTACTTGCAGTGTGTAAAGGAACAGGGGAGGGTGTAGAGGGGATATTACTAACTGTAGTAGTAAAGGTGCAGGTAAGAGATTGCAGTGGGTGCCTGGAGTTTTTTATCTATCATGAAATATCCTTTTTCCATAATGAATCCAGCTACCAATGTAAAGGATGATAATCACAAACAACAGCTTGGTGTGCTAAATAATCAGGTAGTATTTTCATATCATCTTTCCAGCCTAATACAAGTAGCAGTAGCTTATCAGTGCAATATGACAATAAACAGCAAATTAAACTGTAGTATTTACCAGCACAGTATTTAGAGCTTCTGTAAAAACAATTATAGGTCAACCTCAGTTTATATTTGCTTCTTTTCTTTAAACTAACATATGGTGTTTTTCAAATACAGTATATACAAGACTTGCCAAATATTTAAAAAAAAAAAAAAAAA